AGAGAAGGATATAAAAGGTGCGAGTACTAAATACGTGTGAGAAGAAGGAAAATGGATTTTTGTAGATGGGTTAAACCAGCTAAAGGAATATTGAGTAAAACAGGGCTGGGCAAAGCAGGAAAAGTCAAGAGCAACTAAGAAAACCTGAAAGACACAAGAAGTCTAATAGGTAATACATATTTATTACAGAAATGTTGGGTTATAGACAACGATAGGAGCCTTGGGTGGTGCTCGAGCTCACGGCCCGAGTTTTTCGGGTTCCGATCGAAGCGAATCGATTCGCTCATCATTCTGCATTCATGTAATAATTTTTCGATCGCAAAAAGTGGCTAAAAAACGGGAGTTATCGAAACAAATTAAATTGATCGATGACAAATAAATTTCTATTGCCATCGGAGTGCAGCTGGTCTGAAGGTTGGTGATGGGCAGGCAGTTTCGGTTTAAGAATCTTTACTAGGAAGGAACTGAAATTGGGGGCAGTTTGGCTTGGTAGGTGCATGTTGCTAGACCCCATCGTCACTGTCAATGCTTCCTATGGAGGCCTGTAAATTCCTCTGAATGCTCAATAGCAGGAGATTTGCTCATACCTGACAATAGTCTTCGAGCCTTGTCAAGGTGTGACGAGTAATTTAACAGGAACTAACAAAAGGAACGACGAAATTGCAAAACGCCTCCCCCCCCAAGACGAACAGCGGGTGAAATCTTGAAACGTTATCCGTATCCAAAGTATAATCGAGTAAATCATCAAAATCTAGTGGATCTTTCGGCAATTCAGCCACTGTTGAACGAATAAAAGGAGCGGTTGGGAGGACTGCAATTACCTTGTGGGTTATTACTAGCAAATATTTGTTTTTATAGGCGTCCGCAGAGCTAATGATGTGGCTCTTCGAATGGCTCAAAACATAAACTTTTTTGGCCTTCAATTTAAAGCGCTCTATTTCAGAGGAAAAAGCCTATAGTCCAGATAAAGTGAGATATGAAATTTCGAATGTTACCTTGGTTAATACACAACTTCGGCTTCCTTCCGATCCGATGAAGCTTACCAGACACTTGGAATTCCGTCAAGGTTAGCATAAGGGGAGCGGGAGGGGTGGCCGTAGGGTATGTGACAAGAGAATCGTATTCGCCGCACCGTCGCGTGCGACGTCGCGCCTGCTAATGACGACGATTTTAGGTAGTATTGGTCGAGAATAGACAATGTATGACCAAAAATAGACATAAGTCTCTGCCATGTCCTTTTCTACGTGAAATCCGATGCTATAATAGAAAGTTTAGTGCAAATTAAGGAATCGTCGCGCCCATTGCCGCGCGCGACAAAGCGGCAATTTACGATTCTCTTGCCCGTCTCCCGGACAAGTGCACGGACAAGCTATCCCCGACGAGATCACGTTTCAAACTGCTTCATAGTGCACTACTTAGAAAAAGGGCAAACGGAACAGAGCAACAGCAAATCGTATCTTACGTAAACTTACAGTAATTTATAGGTCGATATTTTAAAGGAGCCATCCACCTCTCCAGCCAATTTTTCCAGGTAGGCTTCTTGATTATGGAAATTTGATGCTGCTGGCGGTACATATCGACTCTGGTAATGATTATATGGACTGTTTAAAGCAAAGAAGAGAAATTCAGCAACTAAATGCTTCCAAGCTCTCACCATAACCCGCCGAATTATTTGTTGTCCGCGATACAGAGGGCAGTCCTGAAACATAATATGACGCGCGTAGGCTCTTTTTTATCAGCTCACTATTTTTTAACTCCACGCACAGTCCCCTGCGGAAAAACAGGACCGAAAGATGGGTCCATTAAAATACTGAACAATATTTTCGATGGTTTCAAGTAATCAAATATATCACAGGAGCAGAGCAGGTGGTACGTTGGGGATCCCTGCGAGGAGGAGGAGGGGAGCGTGGAAGTCGTATCTCATCGACGGAGGGTGGGAGAGCATCAAATTTGCTTTTACGAGAAGTGTTCACGATTGTTGACTTTTCCTGTTTTGTCTCACTGCCTCTATCCCACCCCCCTTCCTGCTCAATGGTAGTTTTCTGAGGCAAAACTTGTAGACAGTCGGATCGGAAGTAAGGGAAATGGAAGGTTAGGATGGAGCAGGGGGAGGTCCTCCCAGAGTAGAAAAGAGGATTGCATTTTGCAGAAGTCGCCTCAACTGCAAAGTTACCCCTGCACAGGCGTGGAACTTGCGCTTAAGGGGCTTAAAGCTGAAACTCTCCTTGAAGGCAGTGGGCACGATGGCTAGGAGGGGGCAGTTATTGTCAAAATACCTGGTAGAAGGGCTGCGACAGGGCGTATTCCCTCGCCCCACTTTCACCAATGACGTTGACATTAACCATCCACCCCCAGCCATCGCGGCCACTGCCTTTGAAAACTCACAACTGCAATTGGTGCGCGTGAGGTCAGAATCTGAATGCTAATGGATTTGCCAATGAGGAGATGAGTCCACTAAAATACTGAATCACTGAAGCCCCTGAATAAAGCCCCAGCGTTGGACAAGCTTCCAAGGAGAGAGGCACTGTTGCGCAGGCGATAGATCTGAGACGAAGGATGAGAGAGCAGGAAGACGAGCTGGAAGACCAGCGAGGCGACAATGATCGGGTTCACAGAGTACAAAACATATGGCATATCTCGTGCCCAGTTAGGGGGGAGGGGCTCCGGGTTATGAACGTATGACGACGGCATTCCTCATTGGTTGGAAAATTTCAAAACTTTCTGGACAAATAATATATAAGAGTATTGTTATTTGCTGAATTCGGAGGGATAGATTTATACAGGTGACTATCGAACGTACCACATATAAGGCGTATCGAGTGGCATCCCTCAATTGATTTTGCATCGTTGCCACCTCACGACTACAAACATCGCTGTCAGTCGGCCGGGTATAGAATCGGCATTTATTTT